CAGCCACCTCCTGTCTCCCTTCACGTTGGGAATGGCCCCTGTCTCCCTTTCCTTTTTCTAGTGCGCGCCACGAAAACGAGCCCGCACAAGCGACGTGCGCTTTCGTGGCGCCTTTCTCTAATGTTGTGTCGCGATCGCCTCGAGCTGCCTCTCATACTAACCCGGGTTTTATTGACATGCTGCGCCGAGAGTGCTGCTATATCCGCGCGCGTAACACGAAGGACGATGTGCGCCGGGAGGTTCTTGCAAAGGCAGAAGGGCATCGTCAGCAGATGCTTGAAGCGTTTTTGTGCTGGGATAAGATGGATGAAGCGTTTTTGTGCTGGATGATTCGTGCTTCGAGTCGCTTCTCGTCGGAAGTCCGCGAGCCCGTAAAGGTCCGCATGAGCTCGGCGAAGCGGCCCGCGTCGGCGGGCGTGCGCGGAAGCGTGACCGAGGGGCGAGTCCTCGAAGGCAGCGCCGCGCCGCGGGTCCGCGCCCCCTCGCCGCCTTGAGGAAGGCGTCCCGTGCTCGACGTCGCGGACGTGGCGCAGGAGCGCGTGGCGCGTCATCTTCTTCTCGAAGGACGGGCGCGGCGTCGACCAGGGCGCGCGCCCCGAGGATCTCGTCGACGTCTCGGACGCCCCGCGGGACGCCAAGCGCCTCGAGGATCGCCGCGGACCGCGCGCCAACGATCGACGCTCCAGGTGAAGCCGTCGACGCCCAGCGCCTCGAGCGGGCCGCGCAGGAAGGTCACCTCGTCGATTATGGTGCCGGCGCGGCTGCCTCTTTGTCGTCGACCCGCCTTTGTCCTAAATCTGGGCGCGTCCGTCGCCGAGCGCGTGTCCGTGTCGACAGCTCCGACATCGCGTCGATCGATCTGATCTGAGGTAAAGAGATAAATAAATCAAACTAAACGTGGGCACTTCATGGGCTTCATAATTTGATTGGAGTAGTGGCCTTCTTTGAAGTAGTTGCCTTCTTCCACCTGCTACGTGGATGTGGGTAGTGCGGTCACCGACGGTCGCTTCCGGATCTACCTCTCACCTTGAGGGCTTCGCCCTATACTAAAACTGGATTGGAATGAATTAAGGAAGGGAAGGAAAACTAGCAGGATACTACGCCGTAGGAGCACATTGGGGTATGGTGCACTGCAACATCAAGGTGCAGTTCACTGAGGATGAAGGTAGAAACCTCTCTATCTCTCTGGGACTTGGAGTGAAAAGTCACGTTCAACTCTCGCTCTAACCCGCCAAGCCGGCCAGCTTTCGCCTCATTGACAACTTGAATGACATTGTTGGCTCGTGTCTTATCGGACGCTGACGCTGCGCAGCAGGGCGTTTTACCTGACTAGCGCGCAGCACGACGTCAAAAGTACCATGGTCCTTTCGCCAGCGATTGACATCCCGGCCGGTAGCAATTACAAGCACGGCAAAATTATTATTATTATTATAATACAAGTACCCGGCGAGTCACATTCCCAACACCTTCCCCAACTCCTTCTAGATCCTCCTCGGTAACATCGAGGAGTCCAACGCCCAGGAAGGACCTGGGGAGTGTACCGTGCGCCGCTGGCATCGCACATCAGCCGGCGCCCGTCTCGGAGGGCGGTCACACGGAGCTCGCGCCGCGGTCGCCCTTGCAACCCGGGAGCTCGAGGAGCTCGACGCCGCCGTCGTCGGTCGCGGCGCCGCCGGCGGAGTGGTCGCCGCTGCTGCTCGACGACGAGCGGCGCCGCCGCGACCGGCCGGACCGCTTCTTCCGGCGGCGACGGCGGCGGCGGTCGCGGTCGCTGGAGGACGACGACGGCGAGAAGGAGCGGTGCCGGGAGCGGTCGCGGCTCCGCCGCGCGCGGCGGCGCCTGCGTCCGTCGTCGTCGTCGTCGTCGTCGTCGTCGCGGGCGGCCTCGAGCGCGGCCTCGAGCGCGGCCTCGAGCCGCGCGACGGCCGCGGCGTCGACGTCGGCGTGGTCCGCGGCGGCGAAGCGAGGGTCGCGGAGGAAGCCCGTGAAGAAGTCGGCGCCCGGCCCGGCCTCGGCGCCCGGCGTCTCCACGCGCGCGGCGCGGAGCCGGCGCCGCCGGTCCCGCAGGCGCCGCGCGCGGCCCGCGAGGCACCAGAGAGACGCCGCGGACGCGCACCCCACGAGAAACGCGCGCGCGTCGCGCCCGGACGACGCGACTAGCAGCCCCACGGACACGCCGAAGCCCGCGACGTCCTGGACGAAGCGGACGAGCGAGTACGCGCAGAGGTCCCAGTCCTGGAACCTGCGCGGAAACGGCGGCGGATCGAGAGTTTTGGTCCCCGAAACCAATGGTGGATTGCCACGCGGCTTGGAACCCGTCGAGCTCCGCCTCGGGCTCGAGCCACGGCAGGGCTACGACGAGGCCGTCGAGGGACGCCACGGAGAGGTAGACGGCGGCGCGCACGCGCGCGCTGCCCATGAGCGACCGCGACATCGAATAGCACCTGCGAAGGTTCCGCGCGCCTCTCTCGCGGCCATGGTTTGGGACAAGCGATCACGCGGGTCTCTCCTCGGGAACGCGCGCGCGCGGACCGCGCGCGTCGAAGCACCCCGAGTCGGCCCCGGCGGCCGCGTCGGCGCCGGCATGATGTCGAGGTCGTTGTGGTCGATAGTTTGCCTGGAAAACGCCTCGGGTCGGGGACCGCGCTTCCCGGTCGACGCGCGCGGCTTCGATGCGCGAGGGCGCGCTCGACGCGTTCGAAACTGCGACACACTGGCGTGCGTAAAACGCCCCCGGACCCGTGGTGCCGCCCCGCTCGGCGCGTCTTCCGCGGGTCCTGGAAGCGGTCGAGGACGGACGCGCGGTCATCGAAGGCGACCACGTTGACGACGTAGGCGTTGACGGCGAGCGTGAGCGCGATCGTCGCGACGAGGACGCCGTAGGCGGCGGCGCCAAGCTTGCGCCGCGCGGGCAGCGCCAACGCGCAGTCCGCGCCCAGGAGTAAGACCGCGAGGAAGAAGGCGACGACGTTGCGTGGCCGCTGGTCGCTCAGGGACCGGCCGAAGTAGGCAGCGGAGCTCAGCGCGACGGCGGCGGCGGCGGCGGCGGCGGCGGCGACGAGGGACGCGCCGAGGGCTGCCCGCTGCCACTTCCGCGAGGTTCTCGAACTCAGCCGCCGGTGCTGGCGCGCGGCGAGCGTGCCGTCGCCCGGCGCGGCCGGCGCGACGCCGGCCATTGCGGCGACGACGAGGAGCAGGCCCGCGGCAACTCGGAGCTGCCCCATGCCAACAGACCCGTTCTGGAAAGTGCGGAGATGGGCCATCAAGGGCCGCGTCGGGCGCCTTCCGTCGCTCCCGTCCATGCCTCGCGTCGAGCGGCAGCTCGAGGTGGCTCCGGCGCAGCGCGCGCTGGCGCGGCGTCGCTGCCACGGACGACGGGGCACGCGCCGCTCCCTGTGAGCCAACATACCGCGACAAGGTGCTTGACTTCAAGTTAAAGCCCGCGACGGCCGGACCGCAGCCATTATTGATTACCTCAAGGTTCTGATGTGGCTGTATTGTAACTTTAGCACCGACGTCGCGAATACGTCGGCGTTTTTGCGTCGTCCAACCGGATGAGCCTAAACATGGCCCGCCGCGCCCTGTCCGCGTTCTCGCGGTGGGCGCCTACACCGACCTCCTCGACTTCTGCGACAGCCTGCAGCGGCGCGTTTCGAAGCTGGTGGACGACGTGCGCATCCTGCGGCAGAAGTACGCGTCCGCCAAGGCCGAGAACATGGACCTGATCTGGATCCGGCTCGTGGGGCCGGGCCGGCTGCTCGGCGGGCTACCCGCGATGGACGACGCCGTCGTGGAGAGCGATGCGATCATGGGCGACTACCGCTTGGGCGCGACGCTCGGCGTCGGCTCGTCGGCCGTCGTCCGGGAGGGCGTCGACGAGCGATCGGGCGAGCGGCTCGCGATCAAGATCGTCGACAAGAACCGCGCGGCGCGCTACAAGATCGTGCGGCGCCTCAACAACGAGGTCGTGCACATGCGCGCCGTCGAGCACCCGAACGTCGCGCGGCTCGTCGACGTCGTGCACGCGCGCGCGGGGCTCTACCTCGTCCTCGAGCACGGCGGCCGGGACCTCTACGGCTACGTCGGTGCCACCTTCCCGAACATGGTCGTCCCCGAGCCCGTGGCGCGCCACGTCGTCAGCCAGCTCGTCGCGGGCTGCTGCGCGCTGTCCGCGCGAGGCGTCGTGCACCACGACGTCAAGTCCGAGAACGTGCTCGTCGCGCCGGGCATCGAGGACGGCCAGGTCGCCGCCGTGCGGCTGACGGACCTGGGTATGTCGGAGACCTACGAGCCGGGCCAGCGCGGGAAGGCGTTCTGCGGCTCGCCCGGCTTCTTCCCGCCGGAGATGGTCGCGGCCGCCGATTACGACCCGTTCAAGGTCGACGCCTGGTCCATCGGCTGCGTCGCGCTGGAGCTGCTCCTGGGGCGCCAGTGGTTCTCGGACCACTGGTTGCCCGCGTCCAAGCTCACGGGACGACCCCGCGGAGTTCGCGGTGGCGCTGTCGTCGGCGCTGGCGGACCTCGCGGCGGCGCTCCGGGCGTCGCCGCTGCCCGCGGAGGCGAAGAGCTTTCTGGAGAGCGCGCTCACGGAGGACCCGGACGACCGGCCCGCGGTCGAGGAGCTCGCGGGCCACCCCTGGGTCTCGCGCCACCCGCACCTGCGGCGGCTCTCGCGCGCGGGCTCGGTCGGCGACCTCGCGGCGGCCGCGGCGGCGGTCCAGGCCGAGGAGGCCAAGGTCCAGGTCGAGGCGGTTGCGCCGGCTCCCGACGTGCCGCCGGCGGCGGAGCCCGCGCCGTCCGTGACGCCGTCGCCGCCGACGTCCGCGCGGACGCGGCCCGCGCGCGAGAGCCGCGTCGCGCGCGCGACGGGCGACGGCGCGCGCGTCATCACCGACGCGGAGGCGCCGCCGGAGATGGAGGCGCTCCTCCGGTCGTTCGAGACCGCGGCCGCCGCGCGCGGTCCGCTCCGGCGGCCCGCGGCGGACGTCGCGGCGCTCTTCGCGGCCGCGACGCGCCTCTTCGAGGCCGCGGCCGTCGCCGCGGCCACGCCGCCGGGCGACGGCGACGACGAGCTCGAGTCCCTCGACGCCGTCGCGCGCGGCGCGTTCCGCGCCGCGGACGCGTTCGTCGAAGGCCGCCGCCCGGACCTCGCCGCGTCCCTCGCGACGATTACTAACCCGGGTTTTATTGACATGCTGCGCCGAGAGTGCTGCTATATCCGCGCGCGTAACACGAAGGACGATGTGCGCCGGGAGGTTCTTGCAAAGGCAGAAGGGCATCGTCAGCAGATGCTTGAAGCGTTTTTGTGCTGGGATAAGATGGATGAAGCGTTTTTGTGCTGGATGATTCGTGCTTCGAGTCGCTTCTCGTCGGAAGTCCGCGAGCCCGTAAAGGTCCGCATGAGCTCGGCGAAGCGGCCCGCGTCGGCGGGCGTGCGCGGAAGCGTGACCGAGGGGCGAGTCCTCGAAGGCAGCGCCGCGCCGCGGGTCCGCGCCCCCTCGCCGCCTTGAGGAAGGCGTCCCGTGCTCGACGTCGCGGACGTGGCGCAGGAGCGCGTGGCGCGTCATCTTCTTCTCGAAGGACGGGCGCGGCGTCGACCAGGGCGCGCGCCCCGAGGATCTCGTCGACGTCTCGGACGCCCCGCGGGACGCCAAGCGCCTCGAGGATCGCCGCAGACCGCGCGCCGACGATCGACGCTCCAGGTGAAGCCGTCGACGCCCAGCGCCTCGAGCGGGCCGCGCAGGAAGGTCACCTCGTCGATTATGGTGCCGGCGCGGCTTCCGCTTTGTCGTCGACCCGCCTTTGTCCTAAATCTGGGCGCGTCCGTCGCCGAGCGCGTGTCCGTGTCGACAGCTCCGACATCGCGTCGATCGATCTGCATGCCTCTGAAGTAAAGAGATAAATAAATCAAACTAAATACGACGACTCGACGACGCGTTACGAGCTCAGTTATGACCGTCGCCTGACTGAGCTACCGCAAGGTAGCACCCTGAGCTTCCCCTCTCTCACCCACTACGCTCATCCTGCTTCTACGGACTGCACATTAACGTCAAGTTGATGTACGGGACTTAGATTCCTTACACATCCGAGCCCCTGGCCGACGCCGTCCCTCGCGGACGTCCCGGACTGGGGTCCCCGGACTGGGGCGGACGCGTCGTGACCGCCCCCGGGGCCACCCGGTATCGTTAGCCATTGTTTCGTACTTCTGGGGGGGGGTCGGCCGTGGCTAGCAGATGAGGTGAACCATAGCACTGGCGTTATAGGCTAGGTTAAGGAGGAGGAGGATACGGGGGAATGGTATCCTAGGGGATGACGCTGGGGGAATTGGGTCATCTGGCTAGAGCCCCCTTAGAGCCCCCCCTATGATTAGAGTTCAAATAAAATTCAATGCGGCAACTTCGCGAACTTCATCGAATGTCATACATACGTCAATAATTGGCAGATTACGATGGTGGGACGGCGCGCCGTCGCGCTGACGCTCGCCGGCTCCGCCGGCGCCCTCATCGTCGACGATCCCAAGTGGAAACCGGGCACGTTCCCGCTGACGAAGGACGTCATGCTCGAGGACACCTGGGGCTACGTTGACTCGGACAAGTACCTGCCCCTGAACCACAAGGGCCACGAGTTCGTCAACGCGCACTGCGGCGAGAACGCCGACTTCGAGGACAACATCCCGCTCAAGGATTACGGACGCTTGAGCACCGTGAACTGGTACCCTGACACGCAGCGGTTCCGCGACTTCAAGGGCGCCGTCCGGCGTCCTTTCGAGAGACGCGGGGTGGAAAGACGACCAAAAAATCGTCACTGTAGGCATCGACATGGTGCCCGAGAACGCGGCGAGCTACATCCGGGGCTCGAGCCACGCGAAGAACATGGATTTCGAGACGAAGCAGAAGATCTACGGCGACGAGCACATCTCGCTGCGCAACTGCCGCATCAAGACGCCCGAGGACGGCGGCGCGTGGCACGTGCAGCGCGTCGGCCCCTACCGGAGCCACGGCAACTACGACTGGTGGCAGATGGGCTGGCAGGACGTCGCCTTCTTTTCGGAGGCGCTCGCGAAGCACCCCGAGGGCATCGACGTCAACAAGTACATCCTGGCGCCCGTGGACAAGCACGGGACCCACATCGGCCACCCGCCGCTCCACATCCACCACATCCATCTCGTCGCCCAGGACGGCATCCGGCCGCGGAACCAGCTCCGGGTGTACTGCCACCCGGGTCCCAAGTACTTTGGGAGCAACATCGACAACGTGCTCAAGCAGAAGAACTGCTATAATTCGTCCCTCTTCTTCGAGCAGCACGGCGACTACCAGTGCGAGCCCGAGGACGACGGCACCTCCTGCTTCAGTCAGGGCGACGAGAACACGATGCGCCGCATTTCCGAGCCGCTCGACATCGAGGGCGACTTGAACGACGTCCGCCCCCCGAACTCCGAGGAGATCGAGTGGTACTACCAGGTCGCCATGCACTGGACGCCGCTGGACAGAACTGTTGACGCGACGTCCATGGTCACAATCATGGCGCCCGGCGAGTCCATCCCCAGCGACCAGCTGTCGCGCGTCGGCACGTTCCCGACGCCCACGGACCGGCCGACCTTCATCTGGTACACGGGCCACATGTGGGCCGACGGCGAATTGGTCCGCAACAAGCTCCACGCGCACAACATGGTCTTCGAGTCGTCCCAGTTCTATGCGGCGACGCCCGGCGATTTGGGGCTGGAGAAGGAGAAGTTCTACCCGTCCAGCGGCAAGGCGACGCAGACGCACTACACGAAGGATGACCTGGGCTTCGAAGATAACGACGCATTGATCACCTACATGCAGGACCACATGAAGGCCGCCCAGACGACCTGGGACAGCAAGTGCGGAACCATCAACCCGAACTCGAAAATCGACGCGTGCCGCCGTCGCCGCCCCTACATGGTCTCCGCGGCCGTCTACGACGGCGAGGAGACCGAGTTCGACACGATCGCCGGGAAGATGAGTTTCAGCTTCGACCGGCGCCCCAAGACCTACAGCCGGCCCTGGGTCTTTGAGAAGGGCGAGCAGTTTGTCGTCACGGGCTTCTCGCGGCCGCTCGACCGGCCGCCGAAGCCCGACAAGCCCACGGACATCCCCTCGCACATCCCGGGCCACGTCACCTGGGGTTTTTGGCACAAGCGCCACGGCTGGTTCCACTCCTACTTCTCTCGGGTGATCTGCAACCAGCACTCGATCTTCTTCGACGCGGGGACGGAGTACGGCATCGGCGACATGGTCGGCATCCTCGCGAGCGTCGTCTTCAACGACGGCCTCCCTTCGAACAACAACCTGCGCTACTACGGCTCCTTTGCCCCCCTCGTCTTGCTCATCGCCATCGGCTCCTCCGGCACCTACGTCGCGACGAAGAAGAAGAACGATTAGAGGCGCACACACACAAAAAAGCTGCGTTTTACATGGCCCTACCGGCACCGTCTTCTTCCATGAAAAGTCGGTTCGTACCACCAAATACGGCTGGGTAATGCCGACCATCGCCCCATAAGTAGACTTTTCGGCGTTGACCACGGTGGTTTAAATATTGCCCCTTGTGGGAGATTGTGGCTGAGGTGGCTGCGCCATCCAAGTGCGGTCCGTCGGCCTTCACTTCCGGCGTTCCTTAGTTCAATTGAGCTCAGCCCCCCCTTGCGGGGGGAGTTTACCCTTACCTAGGTAGGGAGAAATAC